AATAATAATAATAATAATAATAATAATAATAATAATAATAAATAATAATAATAATTTATTAAAGTCAATGACCTTAGTCTCTTCTCTGTTCAATTTCTGGTTGCGTGGATTGAACTGCAATTGACTGGCTTCGTGTATAAAGCAAATGGATAAACCCTGGTTTTCCAAACCACAGTGGCTGGGTTGCACAAGAGTTCAAATGCCTTAGGCATTGTGCAACACGTGAGCCCGAGGCCGCACGCTCTTCCGCTTATGGCAAAAGAAGCAGTAGCCATCTTTGAGACGAGAGCCTCTGGTTAATTGGAGGGGATGAGAAATGGCTTTTAAGACATTTTGGGATGGGCTCCAAGTTGTAGAAGATTGCTACAGACTGGCGAGGTGATGTGGCTTGGCCCTGCCAAGAGTTGTGCTAGATTGCAGCAGGACAGAAGTACAATAAATCAACTGCTCTTCCAAAATAATTACATTTTTCTCCTATGTTTCTTATATAGGTTAAATTGTACACCAAGCATGGGACTCTGAAATACCAAACCGACTGCGCTCCAAATAATGGTTACTTTATGATTCCTCTGTATGATAAGGTGAGGGGCTATATAATAATTAGGTGGTATTATGTTCCAGGACTGCGTTTTAAAAAAAATCCTACCGAAGCTGGTTTCTTCAATTTTAACATTGGCAACTCTGCTGGCTACGGATGATGGATGTGTAGCTCAACCCACCTACAGCGGTGAAAACCTACCTTAAATTCATGAAGGCTAGATGTGATTTTTTTTAAAAAAAAAAGATGTTTAATGGTAAATAATACATTTTGCGGTTTTTAAAATGGGTTGAAATTTAGGGTTGGTTATTGCAGGTAGATGAGTGACTGAGCAGGGACTTTGTTTATGTTTCCTTTGACCCAGTCCAAAATCTTAACCGCTGTGTTGCCTATCAGTATTTATGGTGAATGATTGAACTGCAGTGTAACTATAGCGAATTTTCTGTTTTTCTTTTTTTAGGGGGATTTTGTCCTTAAAATTGAGCCTCCCCTAGGGTGGAGCTTTGGTAAGTTGTGTTTCCTGTT